AAAAATCTGCTTGAAGAAATGCTAAAAGGAGGCTTTCCGCTAGATTTGTGTGACCAAGTCCAGATGGCTATGCTTGCCGATCTTCCCGCACTGAGACGAACAGCGAGTAATGCACAACAGTGAGGTTCGCTATCGTTTCCAGTGGTAAATTTTTGAAATACCATAGCCACCAGCTAGTTAAGAGGAAGACAAGACACGTTCCTGAAAATCCTAAATTTTCAGCCCAAATTTGGATAGCTGGAACTCCTCTGAGAAAATGGTGGCATTGGCCATGCCTGGTAAAAGTATGATGCTTCCTTTATTCGGCCATGCGCTTGGCTGGGTGGATACCGTATCTCCTTAGCTAAGTCACTATGTGTGTCTTTGTCTCTTCTTGCGAGTGTATATCCATCTGTTTGACTAGACCCCTGCTTCCTTTGTTCGATGCGGTGACTTTTTTGTCCTGGTTTGATTGGGAGGTGCACCTTACCATACCTCACCGTACCTCGGCATCTTTCTGGGTACCTCAGATTACCATACAATACCTTAGCATGCACCACCCTTTTCATGCACTAGCAATCATCTATGTACGTATGCCCACTAATGCCATTACTGCTGCTAGTACTGTCCTATCCATAAATGCTACTACTGCTACTCCTGATGTTGCCATTCCTGTTGCCTTTTGTTGACCTGCAAAGGGCAGAAGGCGATGCGGAGAGGCTGGGACGTCAGTGGGGAGGTCAATTAGCAGAGGGAAGAGTTATGCCTCAAGAAAAGGGAGGGCAGTGGAAAGGAAAACTCTAGCTGGGGAGATCACGAGGAGCATGAGATAAAAGGGAGAGACAACCAGAAACGAGGTGAAAGTAAGAAGCAGGAACATAACTTAAAAGAGTAGAGAGGAGCATGACAGACAGAAGCAGGCGGTAAGGCAGACGGACACAGTTGACAGCACAGCAGGCAAGCATGGGTGGGTGGGTGCAGCAATAAGGGAGGGTGGGTGCAGCAGTAAGGATTACACTCACCCTATTCTTTTCCAACCAACATCCTCCCTTCTATCCTTAGCTGATCCACCGTTCCATCCTGCTGCCCTCAGTCCCGTCATTGCCTCCTTGCGTCCTCCCTCCAGGCACTGCACTTGCAACTGAAGTGACAAATCCACACATAAGTGGGTGTAGAAGGGATTAGTATAGAAAGAGGAACCGACCTGAAAAAATACAACTTCAACAGTAAGCAGTAGACATGAGAAGTAAGGAGTGGGCTGCGAAGAGGCAGTGACCTGATCTGGTGTGTGACTTGTGAGCTTGAAGGCGGGAGGGCAGAAGGACACAGTCGACAGCACAGCATGGCAGGCATGTGTTGGTGGGTGCAGCGAGGGGAGTCACCCACCCTGTTTGTTTCCGAACAATCCATCCATCCTCCCTTGTGTCCTCGTCCTCATCCTCCCGTGATGCATCAGAAGGCGGATCCCACTCCTCACTCGCACTGCACCTTCGTGGGTTTCCTGTCAGCACATCCCTGGGCCTCAGTCAGGGAAGACACCCCAACCCAGAAAAGCCAACACAACACAGCAGCAAGCACAGAGGATAGTTCTTCAAAAGCAGCAATGGAAAAGGTATAAAGAAAAGCCATGATGGATTCTAAGACTTGCTGCACGGCGACCTAGAGTGCTTTCCCCCCCCGATAGACCCGTCAGCCACTTACTGTTGTGCAGTTGTGAACGAGATTTTCACTCTCAGACGGTGACGCCTCGGAAGGCGAATCCTCACTCCTCACTCGCACCGCACCTCAGTCAGGGATGCACACACACACACACACACATGGGAGGAGAGACAGCCACAGAGAAGCGGCACCAACCAACAAGGGAGGGTTAGAAGGAGCACGAAGCGAGTGGCGGAGGCAAAAGCAGGAGACACGACTCTTGCCTCTTCCCGGCGACGCGCGACGACTCACCACGGCCCCCCTGCAAGCATCCCCTGGCACGTACCATGCTCTGTCCGCCGATCTGTCATGCCTTCCTCTCATTTGTGCTGCTCCAGGTTGCTCCTGGTTGCTCCAGGTTGCTCCAGGTTGCTCCAGGTTGCTCCAGGTTGCTCCAGGTTGCTCCAGGTTGCTCCAGGTTGCTCCAGGTTGCTTGGTTGCTGCCGCTGCCCGTGCTTGTTGGCCGTGAGGCACACGCACACATGGGAGGAGAGACAGCCACACAGAAGCGACACCAACAAAGGGAGGGAGGGTTAGAAACAGCACGAGGTGAGTGGCGGAGGCAAAAGCAGGAGACACGACTCTTGCCTCTGCGCGGCGACGCTCTATGACTCACTACACTCCCCCCTGCAGGCACTCCCTGGCACATACCACACTCTGTCTGCTGCTCTGCCACTCCTGCACCACGCCTTCCCTTCACGCCTGCTGCTCCAAGTTGCTCCAGTTTGCTCCGTTGCTCTGGCTGCCCATGCTCGCAGGCCGTGAGGCACACACACGCATGAGGAGAGAGACATGCACACAGAAACGGCACCAACAAGGGAAGGGAGGGTTAGAAACAGCACGAGGTGAGTGGCGGAGGTAAAAGCAAGAGACATGACTCTTGCCTCTGCGCGGCGACGCTCTACGACTCACTACTCTCCCCCCGGCAAGCACCCCCTGGCACGTACCATGCTTTGTCCGCCGCTCTGCCGCTCCTGCAAGCCACGCCTTCACTTCAGCCGTGCAGCTCCACGTTATCTTGTTCTTGTCGTTAATGTTGTTGCTGCTGTTGCTGCTCGGAGGGCTTTTGGCTGATCCTCCTTGCTGCTCGGAGGACAGTTCGCTGAACCACCCGTGCTGCATCCCTCCTCCCTCCCTCCTCATCACACACAGAGCGCACACGAGCAGAGACGGCAAGAGGGGATACAGATGTGTTAGAGCAGCACGGAAACAAGAAAGACGCTCGATAGCAGCAACACTAGACTCAAGACGCCTGCGTGGCGGACTCCTAAGTCCTATGCGTTCCCCCCCGCTTGCGTGCTACGGACACGCACCTTATTTAAGCCGCATCTGCTGTCGTATCATGATGTGTGCGTCGAATCCGCGCTGCTGCTGCCGATACCACCCAGTGTCTCGCAATCCGCGTTTAGCCGCTGCTGTTGGGTTAGATCTGCGACAATACTCGCACACGCACATCTTGATCCGCCACCCCTCTACTTGCTATATTCTGTGTTCCGCCACTCTTTATCCATCGCGGTTTTTCTCAAAGTGCAGAGTGCGAACGTCAACGAAACTCGGTGACCTCAGCGCAACGTAGCAAACGGTAGCGCGTCGCACAACAGCGAAAGTCGGCGAGCTCAGCGACGAAGGTAACGGTAGCGCGTCGCAGAACAGCGGAAGTCGGCGACCTCAGCGCAACGTAGCGAACGGTAGCGCGTCGTAGAACAGAGAAATTCGGCGACCTCAGCGACGTTGCTAACGGTAGCGCGTCGCAGAACAGCGGAAGGCGGCGACCTCAGCGCAACGTAGCGAGTGGTAGCGCGTCGCACAACAGCGGAAGTCGGCGAGCGGTAGGAAACTCAGCGAAGGTGAACGGTAGAAGTTCTGCGAACGGCAGCAGTTCTGCGAACGGCAGCAGCTCCGCGAATAGCGGCGACACTCGGCGAACGGCACCCATAGTCGGCAAACGGTAGCGGAACATGGCGAACGCCATGTTGCGAAGTTGGCGAACGGCAACGAATATCAGCGGCCGCGAAGTCGGCTAACTGCAGCGACACTCGGCGAAGCGCAGAAAAACTCGGCAAACGGCAGCGAAAGCCGCCGACGAACGCCATGCGAAAATGGCGAAAGGAGGAAGAGACGGCTGGATGAAATGCCGTGTGCAGAGACGGAAGTGACCAGCGTGGTAGGAGGCACTGAAGAAGATGATCATCTGGATCCCAAGTTAAGATCGCTAAGGTGGATTAGCACCGGACCCTGAAGATTCCGACTATGGCGTACGTCCTGAAAACGGATAATGGAGACCGCGAGTCTATTTTGCAACTAAGAACCGCGTACCAAGGATGCTGATCGGTCCTGCGACCTAGAAGAAAGAACCGCGTACCAAGGATGTTGATAGTCCTGCGACTTAGAACTAAGAAACCAAGGACGTTGATCGGTCCTGCGACTTAGAACTAAGAACCGTGTACCAAGGTCGTTGATCGGTCCTGCGACTTAGAACCGGCGCGTACTTCGGTTGTTAATCCATGCTGCGGCTTACAACCGCGTACTAAGGTCCTCCCGCGTCTCAAAGCCATGTAATAGGCTTGTTATCTATTCTCCGTCGTAGGACTGGAATCAGTCATAGACGAGTCGCGACTCCGTCCTCCTCATATTTCCTACTGACAAGCCTGTGTTCTCGCGTCGCTCCAGGCGCATTAATCTCTAAAATCAACAGGCGGACTATTGAAAGATATGCCGACAACGAAACTAAGAGAGTTTGGTAAGTGGAAGGAACAGAGCTCAGCTGTGTGTGCGATTGAGCCTGATGGCCAGGATGATTCAGGAAGGATGGAGTTCTGCTTGAAATGTCTGCTGAGGGTGGGAAGGCGGGTGTCAGAGACGCCACCTCTGACAACCCCGGCGAAAACCGGCGGCAATCTCGAGGCGCGAATGAAGGAGCTTGATTCTTCGTAAGAGAAATTATAAGCGAATAAGAAGAGTACAATGTAGAAAATGCACAATTCAAATAAAAATTCAGTGAAGCACTGGTAACACATTTCACACTGGCACCAGAGCTTTCGTGAACAAACTCGTAGTGAGCCGCTGTAACAGTTTCGTGAAACGGCAACATCATGCTCCGTGGATCTGTTTTCTCGGGAATTTCTGCTCTACGCCTCTCACCGTTCCCCACCCCACCCCAGCGTTCTGCGGAGCAGCTCACTTCTGTTACCGCCATTCCCACGGGGGATTTCGCTATCATGCAAGATGTGCTTGTGAGAAGGCAGGTCTTCTGTGCCCCCATACTAAAGCGGTACTAGGGTTAGTAATCTCTTTTGCGAACACCCACGGACAGCTCTTTCGCAATGACTTCCTATCACGGCGCCTGTGGCGCGGGAGGCTCGGCAGGTGATGATGGCGCTCCCAGTGCCTCGGCGGCCCGGGGTGGTGCTTCAGGCGGCGGGGAAGACGAGGCGGGAGCGATAGGGCGCGCCGCGGCAGGCGCCGCAAGGGCAGGCGAGGCCGCGTTGGATGATTTTTCGGATGCGCCGGTGGGCGAACCGCACTCGCTCTCCGCGGCGGAAACAGCAGCAGCGGCGGAAGCAACAGCAGCGGCAGGAGCGGATGGTGGTGCATCGCCTTATGCTGCCAGTGCGGGTAGCACGGGTGCTGTGAACAGCGTGGAGGAGGGGATTGAACGAGAGAGGGGGCGAGAGACAGGGGAGACAGGGCATTCTGGCGTGACAGCAGGGCCAGGAGAGGCAGGGGGAACAGGGGAGGCAGGAAGGACAGAAGAGAGAACAGAGCGTGTTTCCGAAGCTGAAAAGGTGGCTCGGGAAATGAGAGCCGCAGATGCAGCAATCAACGGCGAGGATCAGCCGCCGTTCCTGCCGGGCCTCCCAGACGACTTGGCGTGGGCCATTCTTCTCCGCGTGCCTCGGAGCAACCTGCAGGTTCTCAGGACCGTCTGCCGACGCTGGCACGACAGCCTCGGGTCCAGCCTCTACTTCCAGGCTCGGAAGAGGCTCGGGCTTACCGAGCCTTGGCTGTATGCATCGATCAGTGACTGGCAGGTGAGCATGGGGGCACACTGGTTCTGTTCAGACGTTGTGTGAATCGATGTGCAAGGCTCGTGCGGATACCCCTGCTTCCCAGTACCTAGTACTTACCAACGCACGAGTCAGTTCACTTGCGTATCCGCTTCCTTATTGTCCCATCCCCTCTCCTCCAACCCATGCAGGGTCACAACGCGTGTGTGGCGTTCGATCCGAGCAGCAGCACGTGGCACACACTGCCACCCATCCCGGGCGCCCAGCAGCGGTCGGTGCTGACACTGCAGTTCGCGGCAGTGAAGGGGCGGCTGCTGGTGGCGGGAGTGGTGGAGAGAGAGGATCCGCTCGACTCCGCCTCTGGCGTCTTCATCTACCACCCCGCCCGGTATGCACGGCTTAACCCCTCCCTCTTGCTCTCTGTTACCCCCGCCCCCCACCCCCCCCCTCTCTCTCCCCCCCCCTTCCACACACAGACACACGCACATCCATCCACACACTTACTCACACAAGCACTCTTTCTCTTACACTCTAAGCACCGCTCTGTGCCCACTCAGATCTCCCTCTCTTCCCCGTGCTTCTCCCCCTCCCCACATGTCCCTCCCCCTCCCCACGTGCCACCTCCCCCACATGCACCTCCCTGCATGCCACCTGTGCAGGAACGAGTGGAAGCGGGCGGCGGCGATCGGTACTGGGCGGTGGTTCTGCATGTTTGGCGTGGTGGGCGGGCGGCTGTACGTGGCAGGCGGCATCGGCACGTCCAACAGCCTGGCGCTGGTGGGGTCCGTGGAGGCGTATGACGTGGATGAAGACCGGTGGTGGCAGGTGAGGAGCGGTGAGGAGCGGTAAGGAGCGGTGAGGAACGGTGGACGCAGATGAGGCTGCCGTGATGCTCTCTATGGGTCAAAGACATCTTATTGTGTCTTGAGTGTCCCCTCTCACTGCCCGGCAGGTGGGAACAGCAGCAGCATCAGCACGAGCGGAGCTGATGACACTGCCAGGGTACCAGGCAGTGGTGGGGGGTTGCCTGGTGGCGAAGAACATCGGGTGGGGGCAGCGCCTGGGCGTGGCCTTCAACCCGCGCACCAACACTGTCACTGAGCTGCCCCCCGCCATGGTGCAGGTAAGGCATGCTGGATGGTGCAGTGTGGTACAACGTGGTGGAGCGATATGTGCAAGAGTGGGGTACAGGACAGTGGTGGGGCGTAGGGCAGCACCTCAGCGTGGCTTTCAACCTGCGCTGCAGCTCCGTCGCTGAGCTTCCTCCTGTCATGGTGCACGTGTGCCATACTGGGTGGTGGTGGGGTGTGGTGGGGCGTGGTGGGGCGTGGAGAGCATCAATCACTGCCCCTCCCCACTGCAGCAGTGCAGGGGCACATGGTCATAGTTGGCCTGCTGTGGTGTGGTGGCATTGAATCATTCCACTCTCCTCGCCCTTTCCCCCTTGCAGGGATGGCAGGGCCCGACAGCATCAGTACAGGGCCACATGTTTATAGTCGACTTTGGGGACGATCACAAGCTGAAGGCCTGGGACCCCCCCACACACGCCTGGACGTGGGTCCGCAAGGTTCGGCTGCCAGCCATGTCCCACAAGCCGTGGGCAGCACAGCTTGTCTGCTTCCTGGACCACATTTGTCTTGTTCTGCCGGACAGGTCTCTAGTGATGGTGCCTCTGCCGCCCCTGCTGCGATCACTGGAGCGGCAGAGGAGGAGGAGGGCGAGAGAGGGGAGGGCGAGGGTGAGGGGAGAGGAAGGGGTGGTGGCTGGTGAAGGTGGGGAAGGCACAAGTGTGTGGGGAGATGTGTGGAGTAGAGAGGAGGGGGAAGAGGTGGAGAGTGGAGACGTGTTGTTTGAAGGGGTGGGAAGGAATGACGAGGAGAGGAGTGGAATGAGTGAGGGGGAGGAGGAGGAAGAAGAGGAGGAAGGGGAGGAGGGGCATGTGGAGGAGGTAATACCGGTGAAGGTGATACCTGGGCCGGGAGGGGGAGACAAGGGTTCGGAGCTGGTGCTAACAAATGCAGTGCTGGGCTGCCAGGTGCTTGCCACATGAATGCCTCCATTGCCCAGTTCTAAGCATAGGAGGGGTTTAGGGAGTGTTGGTGGTGAGCGAATCAATAAATAGAATGCAAATGAATCTAGGTGGCAGGTCTGTGCAACCCAACCTAGCCTACAAAGTACATATACGAATACATGTGTACGCTGACTACATGTCCCTGGAAAACAAATACAGGAGAACCGTATGACATATAATTGTCCCCGAGTGCTACATGCAATTGTTTCTATGCTATGCAGCCACCATTATCCCATTAAACACTATAGGGTGTTCAGGACCACAGCCAACCAGCTATCTATTTGGGCACACATAAAGATACCATTTCTCCTTGCCTCCCACCAATGTTATCTGAACACTTCTTGTTGTGCTTCTCGAACGTTGTCCGACTGCCGCATAGATAGTGCTGCACGAGGTTTTGGCAGCGAAATGCTTGACTTTTGAGCCATCGCCACATTGACCAGCTGAAAATGTCAGATATTCCGCTCTTACACAAACATGCAGCCACGGTCAAAGGGAGAAAGAGCATGATAAGTAGAGAAATATGAGCATTGAATTTTGCGGCGACTTACACGACCACAGCCCCATCTACCATACCAGACCCCGGCCCAGCACCAGTACCATTCCCAGCAAACGTAATGCACCCCATCCACCCATTTTCTCACGGGTTCATTCGGTAGAGCTCCACCATGGAGATTTTATTCGGATTCACCAGATCCTTGCAGCCCTGCTTGTCTTTTATAGACGCCGCCTTGAGACAACTGGGTATTTTGCGTGAAGTTGTAACGTCTTGCTCGATGCAAAGGGAGCGGGAGGTGTTGAGAGGCGAGGAGGAGCAACTGATGTTGGGTTAAGCGCCTCCAGCGTGCCTTCCTTTAATTTAAGGATTTTTTCGACTGTGGAGCAGGTGTCCCCCTGGTGGATAGGGAAGTCTCAAACAGTGAACGCAACGGAATGATTGGAATAGAAACGAATGGGGTACAAATAAGCAACCCTAGAAGCTGTACCCCCTAGAGTGCAACTCACTACAGCCTATCACATCAATGTGCAACATTTGACACACCCCCATAGGCTAAGTGAGGGGCATCAAAGCAAGCAAGGTGAACAAACGGTCACAAGACCAGTCAAAGCAAGAACCAAGGCAAGCTCAGGGTGGATCTCAAGGACACCACACAAATTCCGAGCGCAAGCAAGCGGCCACAAGGCCAGTTCAAGAGTTCACTGTTAACGGGAATGGAGTGTTGGCCCCGCCCTCGCTTGGGCAACGCCGACGACTTGGTCGGATGCACGGGAGTAGCAGCCGACTGTTCACAGTGGGATAGCTGCTCGACAGGTTACGTCGAGCGGCAGCGGACCGCTGTGGTGTTGCTGTCGACCAGGGTGCTCGACAGCTGCAACTGACTGGCCTGGGCGACGGGTGAGCCGTCCGGGAGGTTGACGAAGCAGTCCGTCGACCTACAGTTTGACGGGGAGGTCCACGGAGCATCCCGTCGAACTGCAGTTCGACCGGGAGGTCGACGGAGCAGTTCTGGTCGACGGAAGGGGTCCGTCGACCAAGGGGTAGCTTGACGGGAGGTGTGGTCGACCAGGAGCATCCGGTGGTCGACCAGAGAGACCCAGTGGTCGACGGGAGGCACCTGGGAGTCGACCAGAGCACCAGGGGTCGACCAGGTCGACCGGGTAACCTGCTCGACGAGTTCTGCGGAGGCACGCGAATGCCGTCGAGATCGCGATGGCGCAGGCGACTTCGGGCTGGTATCCCGAAGTCGATGTGGCTCGTCAGGCGCAGACAACAGCCGACGGATGCCCAACGAGGCAAGTCGGACCAATCGTCTGCGCACACCTGCGAGCGCGCGCACTGCTGTGTTCTACGGGGCACGCCGTCGACCTGCTTTGTTGGCAGGTCGCCCTTCTGCAGTGCTGTCGCAATGCTGGCAGGCGGTCGACCGAGCTGCGCTGGCAGTCGACCAGGCTAGCTGCAGGGTTGCTAGGTGCCTGATGTAGTCATTGTTGTCATTGCTTCTTTGATTCAATTCTGTAATTCCAACTTTGCTAGTGGAAACTCTTGCCAATTTCTCCTGTGAATGTGCAAGCACTAAGGAACCAAGCAAAGCTGAGATCACCTCTAGTAGTTCGTGCCAACCCTGTAGTCTAGCTCACTGCCGTTGTAAAGTGAATCTCCGCATGGTGCGGTGAGCGTGGATCGAACACGCGACCTTCAGATAGGAGCCGACTTTTGCACCTACTAAGTCGTTCGTAGGCCGGCAGCAACGATAGTCGCCATGGTCGACCCCGTAGTTGATGCGGGTGTAGCTGACACTTTGGAGGCACGTTTGGCTGACGCGAGGAGACGCCACGCGAATGGCGAGTACGGGACGATCCCCTTAGTGATCGCCGAGTTGGGCATCCGGTCGCAGTGGGCGACGGAACACCCTTCCCGTCCTGCTTCTCCTCGACCGGTGCGCAACGAAGGTGGCGTCGACGACGAGGTCGACGGTGGTGCACGAGTCAGCGGCAGCGAAGGCACGAGGCATAGAGGAGTGATCAAGGTCGACGGTGGTGTCGACGGAATCCAGGCGCGAGTGCAGCGGTCGACGGCGGCTGCAGGCAGCTCGCACGCCGACGTCGATGTTCGACGTCGCTCTCCTCTACGAAGTGGTGGTGGGCTCTCGGCGACGACGCATGTGACGGCGGGCGGGATTGCACCGGCGTATGGCTATTTCAAGTTTTCGCCGGATCGAATCACCGTCGCTCCGCTGCAAGGTCGACGGGACCTCATCACCTGGAGGGAGTCGATCGAACCTCAGCTGGAGGTCGCCGGGCTGAAGGGCTTCGCCGACGGCACCGTGCCAATTCCGCCCGAGGAGGATGTCGGGCTGCGCGGGGAGTTTCGTTCTGCTCACCTGCTCACCTTCATGGTCATCTCGAGGTGCTGCTCGCCGGTGGTACAGCTGGCGCTCAGGAGCTGTCGAGAGCGACTGGATGCTGGTCACCAGGCATGGCGCTTCATCATATCGACGTACCAGGTCAGGGACGACCTGTACATCGGGCAGCTGGAGGAGAAGATGACCCACATTTGGATGGGCGAGCAGGAGTCGGCGACGGATTACTGCAACCGTGCTCGACGGATCCTGGCTGAAATGCGAATGGCAGGCGCCGAATACTCGACGGCGTCCTACATCACCCACATCGTCAAGGGCTTGCCGCGCAGCTACAATCTCATGAAGAGGATGATAATGGTGTCAGAATATTATTCTTATGTTCTAGCCTGTAGTGGGGTGCTCTATAGCGAGTACAACCCTTCTAGGGTTTGCTATTTGTATCCCCATTTCTGCTAGTTCATTCCTCTTTCTTTCTTCTAATTTTGTCATGCTATCAGAGCAGGTCGATCCCCTTGGATCGATCCTGTGGGTGGGTTTCCACCTCGCTTCCGCTGCTACCTTTCCTTCCCGCCGTGCGCCCCGAGGCGCGCGGCGGTTTTCCTTCCCGCCGTGCGCCCCGAGGCGCGCGGCGGTTTTCTGCCCGCCGTGCGCCCCGGGGCGCGCGGCGGTTCTTTGCCCGCTGTGCGCCCCGAGGCGCGCGGCGGGCGTCTGCCCTACCTTCGCGGGCGTCCGCCCTACGTCGCGGCCCCGCCCTACGTCGCGGCCCCGCCCTGCGTCGCGGCCCCGCCCCTCGAAGCGGCCCTGCCCTACGTCGCGGCCCCGCCCCGACCGTCGCGGCCCCGCCCTACGTCGCGGCCCCGCCCTGTGTCGCGGCCCCGCCCCTCGAAGCGGCCCTGCCCGACCGTCGCGGCCCCGCCCCTCGTCGCGGCCCCGCCCCTCGTCGCGGCCCCGCCCCTTGTCGCGGCCCCGCCCTCCAACCAGGCCCGTGGTGGGCCCCTTTCACCACACCGCCTCCCCCCCCCCCCCCCCCCCCCCCCCCCCCTCCCCCTGCCATTTCCCGTCGTCCGTCGAGGCGACCTGAGGGGGCCGCGGCGAGCTGTGGGGTGGCGGGTATGGGGGTGCTCGGTGTGCCTTCCTCCCTTTGCTCCTCCTCCTTCGTCTCCCACTGCTGCAGCTGTCGCTGAGGGGGGTGGTTGTGTGGGAGACTCGGGTTTAGGGTTTAAGGGGGGTGCGTGGGAGTGCAGCTAGCGGTGTAGCAGTGGGTGTGCATCAGGGGGGTGGGACTGTGTGCGGGAGGTTGAGTGGAGGTTGTCAGTTTGTCGTTCG